TTTATAGAGCTGGCCTCTGCATCATTTTTGGTATTCTCCTGTTGAGCCTGTAACTGTTGGGATAGTATAGTCCACTAAACAATCCAGTCTTAAACACTGTGCCTCCTGGATATTAACACAGAAATGACTTGCTGGGGGGTGGGGGGGAGCCTGATTATAAATACTAATCAAGGAGAGCAAAAAAAAAAATTACAAGTATACAAACAACATGAACAGTTGGGTTTGTTTTTGTAATACAATTTCCAAGTTTACACAATTTCAACTCATTAGTCCATTTGTTGAGGTGGTGGACATCATTATTTTCCATTTCCTGGCAAGACAAGTGTTTGACAAGTAGCTAATATAATCAAGAGTAATTTCTCTTGAAAGCATTCCAGTCCTAATGTTTCTGGTGGTATGCCCAGATTGGTAAGAGAAAGAAACTCAGTTACTTTTTACGCTGGAGGAACTGATGTAAGGACATATGCCAAAACCCTCCTACTTTTGAGCATAGCATGACCACAATAGAGGAGCTTACATCCCATACTTGTTTTAGGCTTATCAAAAGTAGTAAGGTGGTTGAATTTATATAGCCAATCTGGAATGCACAAATGCACTTGAAGATAAAATGGAATGCAGTTGAAAGTCTCTCCAAAAACATTTCGACCATTTTTGTCCACATTTCAAATTCTTTTTTCAGAGTAGCTGATTTTCTAGTATTAAATGTAAGTGCTGAAATGTTTCTACATAATACAATTAATACAGCATGTTAGTGTCCTCAAACTCTCATAGTAAAAAACAAAAACGCATATTCAAACTTCCAAGGGAATTGTAACTTAGTAAGAATCGGCAAACCAAACATTGCTTGCCAGTAATTTTTTTAGGCAAACTTACATATTCTGTATTAAACTGTAATATTTTCCTGGCCCTATTAAAATCCTATCTGTGCCACAAGTAGAGATTTACTTCTAAACTAGACTCAGTTTTATGCAATTCATCCTTCAGGACAGATGGAATTTTAAAGAACCAGGACTAATATATTAAAAGAGACAGACCATGCATACAAAATGATAATGTGTATTTCAAACTGATTTCAAATTATATAATGAAATACAATATCACATTATCATACTCCAATACCAACATCGTATAGTGGATAAGAACTGGGCAAATTATCTACTGCTAAAATACTGCAACAGCTAATCACACCAACTGTCACACTACAGCATCAGTGGACAATGGTTTAGTGCAGAAAATGAGAACCATATCCTGAAACTACTGGGGAAAATTAGGAAAAAGTGGAACAGAATCAATTATGCTACAATATATTTATCACCAAAAATGGAGTCAGTCAAAAAGAATTCCTTCTCTTGTTGTGTGAATGTGGACAGAGATTGAAGGTGTCTCACTAAGTCAATTATCCATAGCCAGGAAGAAAATGGCTTCCTTTTAGCTTTTATTATTTTCCTGTATAAGGATGCTGCTAAACTAAAAGTAGCGCCTGGCACTGAAAGGACAAAGCTGTTTTTCTTTTCTTTTTTTCCCTACCCATGAAAAGACATGTTCATACGCTGTTTTTCTTTTTTTTTTCCCCCCTACCCATGAAAAGACATGTTCATACCTGGTTGGGTGGGCTGACAAAGAAAATGACATTAGTTCACTGTACTAGTTTATAAGACAGTGCATGTGCACAAAAGGAGAGACGGATGCTGTCTTCTACCTCCTGATAATTGTACTTCAATATCCAGTTAGCCCAACTGTGTCTAATTTAAGGTTTCACAAGTGTAGTAATAACCAGTCAGTAGTAGATGTAATTGTTCTAGCAAACCCTGCAGCAGAAGGTTGGGTTAGTTTCAGGTAATTGCTCCACTGTGGTAAAACAGTAGAGATAAGACTCTAATGAAAATACTTAAAACGACCATGTAAATATTTATCCGCACTTGAACGGGGGTGAGGAGGGGTCAAGATTCTGTACAGGGCATACACCCGTGTTGTGGGAGATTCTTGGTTTACTCTGCCTGCTTCAACCAGTCACTATTTATCCATAGTGGCACAGCTTATTCAGGAGAAACCAAAAGAGCCCCACATCAGAACATCCCATAGTGAATACCTGTTTTTACTCCCAAACAATTTTTGTTATAGTCTTTCAAAATAAGAACTTGATCCTGCAAAATACTAGGCATCTACAAATTCCACTAAGAGCAGAGAAAGTGGAGGACACTTCATTCATCTCATGATTAAACTTTACATAAATTCCAATTCGTAGTAATTATGTCATTGTCTTGTGTTTTATTTGACCAGTGCTTCAATAATTGACACTTTTATGATAAGCTTTACTCAGATTAAATCTGATAAAAGTTATACAATGGCAGAATAATTGTATTTCAGGAATCTCAAAAAACAGACAATGCCAAATCAAGTGTACTGTACCATATTTACCTGGCTAAAAGTACTGCACAGAACAATATTTAAAAACAAGTTACTTGGTATTGTTCAATTACTTTCAATATGCATATTCAAATGCTATTAAAGCTGTAGATTTCAAGTGATAAATGGCAGAAAATATGGTTCAGTATACTGTACCTTGTCGGCAGGTCTCAAGCAGTTAGAAACACCACAGTAGTTTTAGGTTTATCATCTCAGATATTGAATTATGTGAATTAGTTTTTACTAGCTAGTGAATACTCGTTCATAGATTTCTACCAGTTGGCCAGACACTGAAACTGCAAATGGAAAATAAAGCCAACATGTCCAACTCTGATGCACTCAGCAAGCTTGTTTACAATAATGTAAAGGCTCATATTAATATTAGTTTATATAAAATGTGCCATTAAATATTTGTTCTCATACTCACATTATAGCTACAACCTACATTCTCTAACTCGGAGTAGGCAATAATTTTTGATTGGGTGGGCTACTCTAAGATTTTGGAAATTGGTCAAGGGCTGCACTCTTCCATGATATTAACGGAGGCAGTGCAGTGTCTGAGATGGAAGTTGGGTGCAGAAGGGAGCTTGGCGTAAGGGATTGGGGTGCAGAAAGGGAGTTTGGGTGATGGAGTCAGTTGCAACCTGGGGCACTGGATGGGGGTGCAGGGGTCTGGGATGTGACCTAGGGCAGGAGGGGATTGTAACCTAGATCAGGGGATTGGAGTACAGGATCTGGTGTATGGAGGAGGGTCTATGAGTGTAGGAGTGCAGAAGGGAGGCAGAGGGTTGAGGGAGAAGGGGCTGGGGTGCCAGAGGAAGGCTGTGACCGGGAGACTTACCTGGGTGACTCCCGGCCAGCAGCCTAGCACATTTCTGAGGCAGCCTCCCTGTCTGCCCCACCCCTGCACAGGCTGCAGGTGCCATATGCGTGACTAAATAACTACAAGAAGGAGGGGAGAGAGGCATTGTGCTTCATGTACTGCCAGTTCTTCAAAAAGGCTGCTCCCATTGGCCAGAAACCGGCCAATGGGATTGTGCTGGGGACGGGCACAGTGCCTGAAGCCTTTCATCTCTCCTCCTTCCCTCCAGGCTCACAGTGGTGAATGAGAAACGGATTGGCAGCCACTTTTCTGAGTGGCATGTGGGTGGGGCGAGACACACAAGGAGCCTGCCTGGGGTTCCCGCTGCATCCACTGGCCAGATCCAGTGACCTGGCATGCCAGATCGAGCCTGTGGGCCACATTTTGCCAGATCTGCTCTAACTATACCATGTCAGATATATCACTATGTAAAACTTGATTTCTCTCCCCATGCTGGAATTCAAAAGGAGCAAGCCTAAAGTGAAGAAACAGCCAAGTGAGAGCTAGATACTGCCTGCATAGTGTATAAGCCATTTTAATTTTCTTGCTAAGAATCCTAAATTGAAATGTCAGAACTACAATTTACAATTAGGTTTAATTCCAATGTACTGTCCCCAAAATGTGTTATGTTATCACATCTCTTCTCTTAATTTGGTATACTAGTGTAAGTAACTTATACATGCTCATTTCAAACTGTACTTCAGATTAATAACTTTTTATTGATGAATATTTTATGTCCTCTATTTTAAGAGAGAAAGAATGAAACAGAAAGCTGTGTGGATTATTTCTAAAGTCTATTAAACTAATACGCAGTGTAAGTAATTGTTTACAATATACATGGCACAAAACTGAATATGCTCTACTTTGTATTTTAAAATGGGTAAGAAAATTTGTTTTTATAAGAATATCTTTCATGTGCAAGTCAGCTAATAAGCACCTCAAACTAAATCACTATGGGCAAAACCATGGAACTAGTCTCTTGACAATGTCAAAAATATGGTTAACCAGCTGTAATACGAATAATTTAGTAATCACAAATTTAAACTGACATCATATTCTATAAGAGTTCATCTAATTTACATAATAAATGTGCACATGTAAATATACACACGATCGTGCATGTGTTTTTTTACATATTGGCAAATAGATTAACTTGTGGTTACAGAAGCTTTCCATAGATCTAATTACTATTCAAGGTCTAGTGTTTAAAATAGCTAAACTGCCTGCTGAATACTGAAACAGAAAAGCCCTATAAGAGTTACTGTGAACCATATCCACATTTCACCCTCCCTCCCCACAGTAAAAATAAAAGGCAGTTAAAAACCTACAGAAGCATCACTGTTCTTTTAGAATTTAGTGAATTCACAGGCATTTTTCAAATCCTCGTTTAAATCTATCGTAACAACACACATATCTCATTTCTGTGGTCACAAATATTAGTTTGAGTAATATAGTCTTAATTTAAATCTAATAAACTTATTATTGCTTTATGTATGTTATAAATGGCATCTGATCATTAGTATTTGTAAGCCTGGTTATCTAAAAACAAAGGTCCCTTTCTGATATTTACCTACACATCTTTAGTTAACAGCTAAAACAAACAGCATCAGTGTTTGCAATAGGCACCAGCATCATTACATTCAATTAGTTAAAAAAACAAGAACATTAAAGTACCAAAAATAACCACAAAGGAAACACCTAAGTGGCTTATTTAGAAAATTAAACACCTTACCAGATGCATCCTGGAGCTTCTGAATCACCTACAGGAAAATTAGACTAAGCCTGATACTGGAGCAGTATTCCTCAGTATTACAGAGCCTGTTCTGACTCTTACAGAATATCAGGCGAGTGTGAGGCTGAAAACCTTTGAGAGGAGTTCACTATAGGCATCAGAAAGCTGCAAAGAAAAAAAAAAGAGAAGGAAATGCAGCCCACAGACAGCTAGATGAGAAACTCCTGGCAATTCTCCAACTCAGGAACAAATTTACTGTAATTTGAAGATGTATAGTGATGGAAATGAAAGGAAACTTGAATTTACTGATGAGTTTGCTCCTGCCTTAGTGGCTCTGTAAAAATGAGCATGTTACATCTCAGGTCATTTTTAAAATGTTCATCCAGGACATTTTAAACTAAATCAAAAAGTTAATGAGGAGGGATGCCAATATGAACTTCAAATGGAACATTCCTGCAGCTAATTGCTGTGAATTTTATTAACCCCAGCACATTGGTATAATGGAAAATCTAATTCCTATTATGTATCAAAGTGGATTCATGTCTTTTTATAATTTATTTTGGACAAAGTTTTTGTTATTGCTTATGCAATATTAGGCAGCTAATTTTTTTTTTTTTTTGAGAGAGAGACCATTCATAACTTGTCAAGCAACTGGGAAAAAAGTCAGAGCACTGAAACTGATTTTATCCAAATATTTGTGTTTTCAAAAAATGGTATCAAAAGGTTTCAAGTGCTAAAGATAGCTAGCAACGAAATTTGGTGTATATAAGTGCAAGAGTCTGTAAAGGCATAAATAACTTTTGCTTTGAATCACCCAAGGAACATTTAGGTGCGTTTTGCTATTTCCCAGACATAAAAGCAAAGTGCACATTAGCATACAAAACTGCATTTTAAAGTACACACTTCAAAACATTATGGTATATAAGAAACAACAGAATAAGAGTTCAAGAAAGAATGATCATGGTAAATTGCTTTTTTAAAGTTAGCTTCTTTAACACCTATATATGCCAATAATTTAATAACAATTCTGGTTTTAGTTTAAAAAAAAAGTCATTTAAATAGTAACTGTTACCAAGAAAATAATAATGGTCCTCAATATTGGAAGTACAGTCCCTGTAGATTTAAGTTGCATTTAACATAACTAACTAAGGCTAGGATTTTAGTTGCATTTAACATAACTAACTAAGGCTAGGCTACACTAGACCTGGAAGGTTGGCTTAAGGTACGCAACTCCAACTTTATAGAATATGAAACTGGAGTCTGCTTACCTTAAGCCAAGCTTATCACCATTCCCCCTGGAGAAGGCCAACAGGAGACTTCACCTAGTCCTTGTTACTGTGAGTACAGATGCCAGCTGGAGCTGCCTTTAGCATTCGATTTACGAGTCAATACAAGACCCACTAAACTGAGTTCCAGAACATCATTCTCAGGTGTGGCGAGTAAAGACCTGGCCCAACAAGATGCTACTAATGAGTCTACCCGGCCTTAATAACTAGAGGTATTCTTGAATCAGTCTTTTTCTACTTAATAAATCAGTTCTTTGAAAAAAAGTAGAATCCCAATATTAAAACTGGGAAATGCAAAAATCCTTATATTAAAGGATGCCTAGCAAGGATGAAGAATCATATACATAGTGTCACAAAAAGCTGGGATGAGCTTCTCACCAACTTATTTGGGACTTGCAAAGCAGAATTTTTTGTTAATATTAGTGGAGCCTCAAGGTTTGGATCTGCAATCAGATGTCCTCTAAGTTCTGAAGCTATAACTCAGATCTTTCTCACCTCAGCCCCCCACAATGACATTACCACTAGAGTAATTGGAAGGAACTAGGTGTAGTCAATTGGGCAGATGACAGTTACAACTATATGCCCTATTCTTACATTTCAGAAATAATTATGTATCAAGCAGCATGCTCCCAATGCTTAGAATCAGAATTGATTGCAAAGGTTTTCATTTCAACCTGTAAACAATCCATTCTCACCTGTGTTCCATTCATTAATAGTGTTAGAGTGATCACTGGCCTCACCCTCTATAGTTAAGGCATCATCAGAAGTTTGAGCACATCTTCCTGTGTTTCCTTGCTCATCTAGTCTTGTCTCTCTAGCTCTCTTGGTTGTGAACAAAATCTGCAACCCATGCATCTATACCTCTCCGAGTTTTCAGAGAGGCTGAGGTAACAGTTTAGCATATGTGATCTGTCCCTTTAATTTCAATGGACTTTTAACTACATACCCACAGATGATCATTTCAGTATTAACTATTTCACTGCTGACCAAAACCAAAAGGAAAGGAGAGGGAGATGCATACTGAGATCAGCAACATCTTATTGTCATGTCATAAGCAGAGGGGTGCTTAGAAAAATACCAGCATCTATTTCTCTCTCCAATCTAGATGAAGCCGCACCTCTCTGGAGATGAAAACCGCACCTCTCTCTGGAGGAACCCACCTCTCTGAGATGAAAACTTGTCCAAAGAACTCAGGCTGTGATCATATTGTGTACATACCTCTCCCAGTGCACTATGAGTATCTGATGCCTGCAACATTATGCAGCTTGGAAGACCACTGGTTTGTATCTTTGATTTGTCCCCTTAGCTCTGCCAAATTAAAAGGGCCAAGGGCCAAATATGCATGATGGGGGGAAAGTTTCTCTCAAACAGCTGGTGACTTACTACAATAAGCAGACCCTCCAACAGGGGGACAAAGGAGGCAACTGCCCCAAGGTCCAATGAGTCAAAAGGGCTGGCAGCAACAGTGGCTAGGGGAAGGGTCTCAGCAGCACTGATGCCCCAGCCCCCGCTTCCTCCACCTCCAAGAGCACAGAGCCACCACCACCTTGACCAGGGGCCCAGAAATTCTATCCCCCCCTTATAATAATTAAGAGTACATCTACACCACCTTTACTTCGAAATAACTTAATATGCATCTACACAGCAGGCAGTTATTTCAAAATAATGTTGAAATAATGTCCAGCTGGAGGACTTCTTACTCCAACTCCTGTAACCCTCATTCTATGAGGAGTAAGGGAAGTCAGAGGAAGAGTGCTCTATTTCCAAATAAGTGCTGTGTACATGCCCCCAATTTCAAAATAAACTATGCAATTGTATAGATTATTTCAAGTAAAGCCCTGCTGTGTAGACGCACCCAAATCTACTTTTCAGAAGTGTCTAGCTGGGTCAGATCCTGAAGCAACTAAGCTACAGCAGAGCAAGCTCTCGTGATAGTTTGTCCCAGGAGTAATTACACAGAGTTACAGACGGGCTTCTAACAGCAGCCGTCGTTGAAACGTGCTGCCATGGTTTCTCTGCTCTAGGATCTAAACTAGCTAGATTAAAACTAGATTGGGTATATCAGCTCAAACCTACAGTCACAGCTAGTGACTGCCATCTATACATGCCCTCGGTGACTTGGGGTGACAAAGAACCAGCTAACATTTACAGAAGAGCAAATACCATATCTCAAACTTACCTATCACTGTTTCCTTATATGTATCCTCCCTTTGTCTTTCTTTTCAAAAGGAAATACCTTATTTAATGGTACGAGAACCACGTCCTCCCTTACAGTCCTTAAAGGAATATAGTGCCGTACAGACCTGTTTAATGCTCTTACAGTTTATCTAGTCCTAAATTTACTATTATAAACTATCCTAAAGTTTAAACTGCTGAGACAAAAAGAAAAAACATAAGTACAGCAAGGAAGTACCATTACGTTAGTTAATGCTAGAATCATGCAAGCACTATATTTCACACATTAGGAGGTCTAAAATAATTGACATTTCTAAATGGGACTTTAGAGGTATCATTCCCAAAGACAGCTGTTTGGGATTTTGTTTGTTTATTCTTCACCTTTGTCATCCTAGCAGTACTTATCAGGTATGTTGTCTCAAGCAGATGTAACAGGAATCGAACCAGCAACCTTTGGAGCTTAGTCCATGAGCCTCTACAGCTTGAGCTAAAAAAAACAATTGCACGCTTAGCTACGGAAATTCATTCTTCTCTCTCTCTGTAAGTGGTCTAAGTGCCACTACATCGGACAGTGAACCACACCCAGTATGTGTGCAGGTTACAGAGCCATCAGACACAGTGACTGCAATCTAGATATTTCTGTCGTCAGTGAACAAACTGACTTCAGAGTCTCTCCACCTTCTGTTTCTGAAATGACATTCCAACGCGCATGTAGGACTGGCTCATCCAACAAATCCATGGCTTTTCCCCTGGTTAAAAAGGTCAGAAATGATGAGAATTCAGAGTAGGAAGTAGGGACATGAACAAGTAGTCAAGTTGTTGACTATCCGATAAGCAGGAGCTTAACTACTTGATAACCTTCCTGCCCCCTATTGCCTCTCTGCACTCTTAAAGGGACAGAGAGGAGCCGGCACACAAAGACGCTGGCTCAATCACTGGTCCCCCGCCAGGTCTCAGGACAATTCCTCCCCCACTGCCACTCTGCATTCTGAAAGGGACAGAGCAGCGGCAGCTGGTCCCGCGGATCTCTCTCAGCACAAGGCCCCTTCCCTCCCCTCATTTCCCCGTCTTTGCATGCCAGCTCCTCTCTGTTCCTTTAAGGGTGCAGAGCAGCAATGGGGGAATTGAGAGGGCTTGTGCTGAGACCCAGAAGTGAGCACTGTAAATGCTTTTCCCTAATGACTAGTTGAGTAGTCACTGGAAATTTGACTGACTACTTGACTAGCAAATTAATCGCTACTTAACATCCCTAGTAGGAAGTACTCTCAGGCTACCATTTCCCCAAAAAAGGGCCCAAGCAGGACAAAAATGTTGCCCCACAATACACTAGGAATCAATACCTAGACCAACTCCAATAGGCAAGGTCCTAAGGATTCTGTCTAGGTGGACACATATATACGGGATATGGGAAGGTATGTGGCACGGTAATGTGGACTCTCAGAGGCTAACTCAATGTGGGTGCAAATATAACACCCAACAAGCCTGCATTGTTGACTTACAAAAACTGGCCAAAGAGCTATCTATGTTATATTCCAGCTGGCTCCCTGGCTTGAAAGGATGTATCCTAATATGTCAGAGCTCGTGGATAGTTGTATTCAGGCATAATACACTTAAAACACTGTACATTCTGAAACTGGGGCTT